TCTTCTGCAAGCATCAGATTAATTTCCAAGAATTGTTTTTTTCGTGGGGATTCTATTTGTTTCAATTCCGATCACGATCATGTATTCAGTCTCTGTAATCTTTCATATTCCCTTCTACCATTACTCATTCTGTTTCACTCTTATACTTGTCAAAACTCTATTGATTCTCTTCACGCATCTTTTCGTCTACCTTTGTGTGCTATTTGGAACGTGGCAACTCGAACTGCTGCACTTCGGCGCCAAGTTCTATATTGAATCCATACAGATCACGAGTTGATATAAGTTAGAGAAACATTGGGAAACTAGTAAGGAGTACTAGGCAGCTGTCTCCTCCTACTTTGGGATTCTTCAACACTACTCACCCACCAGGGGTCGAACCCAGGACCCCTCTATTTACAAGGGAATCTTATAGACCCAATTCAATGACCCATGAATTCCAATTGACTCTTGAAAATCGATCTGTTTCTTGCTAGTGACTGGCTATAGGAAGAAGTTGGCTGGAGTTCATGTGAAAACTCATGACCAGTCGGGTCATCGAGGATGGAGTTCCGGCGATAACATTGGCTGGTGGTAGCACTAAAATAGCGAATCAGTAGAAGATAGGATACGTGAACCATTAGATCGGGTCTCAGTGGCTAAATGGTCAACAAGCTCGCCTTATAACGTAGATGTTTTAAGTTCAAATCCCATTTAGTGGGTACTTCCGAAGAGTCTCAAACTGGGACGAAATAGGCATGCACTACTTCCTGCCTAGTTTTCCAATCGTTCTTTAGCTGATGTCAGCTCGTGACCTAACTTGAAACAAATCAAAAATATTTACTCACAATTTCAGAATCTTTTAATAGCATCAACTTTCAACAGTCATTTATCACTAGTATCGTTAAGTATATCACCAGGAACCGAAAATATCTCAGTTTGGTGATTATCTTGACTGTTTGTTTAGGTGATGAGATTAAGGGTATAGACTGTTTTGCTAAGGTCCTCCAGATTAAATTATTAGTGTCCCCTTGGGTTCCGAGTGAAACATAAAGTTTCAACTACACATCTCCACTTTATTCTATTTTCTGCTGTCCTCTTCAGCTGCTTGACTCCAAGATTGCATATAATCTCTAATCTCCTCCTCCCCAACACATGATCTCCTCCATTTCTCCCTCGCACCGACGACCCACTCGTCGCTTCACGTGCTGAATCCACTCGAGCAGTGGCCTGCACTGAGCGTGATTTCATTCGACGACCTCCTCAACGTATGCCAAGTCCATCTCTGTTTTCTCCTACATATTTGTTGAGCAATCGGCTCTCGGTTGCTTAGTTCCCAGCCAGAGTTTATTGTTGCTAATTCTTTCTGGCCGTCGGCTGCCCAGCCATTTGATCTTCAGTATGGAGCCAGCAAGCGAAGTGGGCAGCTGTTGATAAAAATCTGCAGTGGCCTGTTGGAAATGCTTGTCGTGATGCGATGGCCAAGTTTCTGACCCACATAGAAGAACTGACTGACTGACTTGAAATTGGTGTTGAAAACCCAAGTCTAGTTGTTTATACTGTATGCTGTTTATGCTCTATATTCACCTGGAGTCCTGTCTTCGCTGCCTGCCAGTCTCTTCTGACAGTTTGTTGATTTTCGCCTGCCACTAAGTCTTCGAGTGTGTGTGACATTAAACATAAATCATCCAACCACGAAATCCAAATCTTCTACAGTCTTCTCATAGATGGTCCAGTGTATTTCTGTCTTCTCACTCCCCACAGTCTGACGCATAGTCCAGTCCACCACAATGAAGAATATCATCGGTGATAATAGACAGCCAGTCCTGTCTTACTCATGTGTTCACTTCGAACACCTCACTGAGTGAGTTTTCCGTTGTGGATCACATGACACGTGGCAGGCATTGTCATATAGCCAGTTGTTGAATGAGGTTGATAAAGAATTGGGCACTGCACGCCATAGTGTTGAAGTAAATTCCAAATTACTTTTCGTCGACGTTGTACGCTGTCGAAGGCCTTTTCGAAATCGATGAAGTTAAGGTACAGATTTGACTGCCATTCTATGTTTTCTTCTGTGATGAAGATGCGTAGAGTTGCAATTTGATCAGCACATGATTTGAATCCCCGAATCCAGCTTGTTCCGGAGAGCCGGTGGAGTTCTGTATCCAGTGCAGCCTTTATTCTCTCCAGGATGATGCGACTTAGTATTTTCTACTTGGCGTGGACAAGAGCATTATTCCACGCCAGTTCTTTCACAGGCCTAGGTCGCCCTTTTTGACAGCTTGACGAGGTAGCCTTTCTTCCAGTCGGTAAGTACCTTTCATTCTTTCCAAACCTTTTGCAACAATGGCGTGAGAGCATCTTCTGTAGTCTCTGTCTCCGTTTTCAATGCTTCGTGGTGGGGGAATTCCGTCTCGTCCTGCTGCCTTCCCGACTGGACTTCAGTAGATAGATCACATTCAAGATTTCTGCTTTCGTTGGAGGATTGGTGTCCACTGGCAGGCAGTTCTGTGCGTGCTGTTGGTGGTGATGTATTTCTGGGCGAGTTGCAGCTGATGGTCGATTCAGGAGTCCTTTGAAGTGATCATCCCACTGTCTTATTTGTCTCTTCTCCTTGGTAATCAGGTTCCCTTGAACATCTTTTATTGGTTTCATCATCTGGGTTGATCTCTTCCCGGATAGAGACTTGGTTATCTGATAGAGTGTTCTGAGGTCTCTTTCACCTGCAGCCTGCCTGTTCCGCTTCAGTTGACAGCCAGTGTGTCGTAGAATCGTATTTTGTCTTTCCTAGCACTCTTCTTCACTTCTCACTTTATTCAGTGCAGTGTACACTGAACTCAGTTTCTCCTTCTGTTGTCCATCTTTGCATTGAGTCATCACCACTCTCTTTCACCATCCTCCTCTCCTCTCCTCGATTAGATTCCAGATATCTGTTGAGAGCCATTCCTTATCTTGCCTCTTCCTTCTCCGTAAAACGGTGGCACATGTTTCCTTGAACATCACCTTCAGAGAGTAAGTTCCAACGTTCTTCTACGGAAGTTTCTTCAGTAACGCCGCGTAGTGTCGTTGACTCAGCTGTACTATCTGCAGTGAAGGTATCCCTTGTAGTTTTGTCCATCACTTTCTGAATGTTGAACTTGAATTGTTCTCTGTCTCTAGTTGTTCTGAAGGCTTTCGGCTTGACCTTGAATATTCCTTGAACTAGATGATGATATGAACCCTTATTTACTACCTTTCTAGATATTGTGTCTACCAGGCTGCATCTCCACTTCTTTGAGCAGCATTTTGGTGAAATCTACCTTGTTTGTAGTGTGTCCGTCAGGCGAAATCCATGTTGCCTTGTATTTATTCTCAAAATGTTAAGAATCAATGGTTGAAGACTGTTGACGCTTTGCCTTAAAATCATTCAAAATGGCACAGATGCGTACTCATACTACTGTCATCTTCGCGATTCTGAAAACCGTTATTATTCTCCATTTTATCATGTGTGTTTTTTTCTAGTTTTATAACATTTGTTTTCTACATATTTATTTGTGATTTCTACATTTGCTTAAAATTCCACGTTGAGAATTTCACTTCCCAAGTCTTGATTTGAAGAGATTTTGTTCGATTTTCCATTTGACTTCTAAATGGTCAATGAGATGGGATTTTTTTAACCTGATGGTTCTTGAAACGATCCCCCCCCTGGCGATCATAAGCATTTACTGATGAAGAGTTCCCAAATGGGACGAAACAGCTATCTCGTACTCTATTATGATATTCAATGGTCCTTTAACTGATCAAACTTGAAATCAGTTGAATCTCAGGACGAACACTGAAAATCAATCTAGTACTCACTGATGACTGACTACAGAATAAAGTTGCCTGAAGTTTTATCGAGAAGTAATAATCAGTGAGTTCCACTACATTTTTGGTTGTGACTGATGACAATGGCTGACAGTGGAGCTATATATCGTGAATTGGTCGAAGGTAGAATTCATTGGCTGGTGACTGGATTCCCTACCAGTGGTTAAATGGTCAACCGACCCGCCATTAAAATCTGAAGGTCCCGGGGTTCGACCCCGGTGGTAGGGAGAAGAATGTCAAACAATGGATGAAATAGCTGTCCATTGTCTCCATAACTATTTTTTTTTCTGTGGTTCTCTGAATGAAGTCATTTGCTGATCAAAAATTCTTATTCAGTTCTGTCCTCTTCATTTCACCTGTGTTAAGATTTTGTTAACAAGCATCTTGTGTAAGGCTGAATAAATCGATACTACATGCCGTGCGAAATTTTAGTGAAATAGAGCTACTTACCTGCGGCTACTAATTAGTAATGTCTGACAGCGAACAAATTGAATTTACATTATTATTATTTTTCAAGAGTACGTATGTAAGGATTAGATTTGTTTTTACGAGTTTGACCACCGATTGAAATCAGTTAGAGAATCATTGAAAACCAGCACTGAACTGATGGACAGCCGGCTGTTTCATCCTAGTTTAGGAATCATCAGCAGTAAACGCCCACTGGGGTTCGAACCCAGGACCTTCCGGTTACAAGGCTAGCTCGTATACCATTCAGCCACTGGGACCCAAGTCCTTATTGGCCAGCTCATGAATTCTAACTTCTATCAATTCGTGTTTCAGCGTGACTGACACCAACCGATGTCATCGGTGGGACATCCATCCTCACACTTGACTGGATGGACCTCACTGGTCACAACCTCTCACTAGAACTGCAGGAAACTCCCTCCTGTAGCAAGTCACTAGTGAGCATCAGGTTAATTTTCAATAGTGTTGATTTGTAAGCATTAGGTTTGTTTTTCGAGATTGACCACGGATTAATATCAGTTAGAGAACCATTAAAAACCGGCCACAGAGAGTACTGGACATTCAGCTGTTTCTTCCATCCTATTTTGGGAATCATTGGCAGTACGCAACCACTCTAGGGGATCGAACTCAGGGACTTCCGGTTACAGCGCAAGCTCGTTTTCCATTATTATTGTTATTATTATTAATACAACTAATGTTTTCTTTACTTCCAGGTAGTCAACAGTTATCCTGCAGCTATTCTGATAGTAAGTTTTTATGTTTTGGGATTTTGTTTCTGAATATCACTGTCTTTCTTAAGAATTCAACTAACCTTAAACAGTAAAATTACGTAATACGGAAGGAATTTTCTCTTCCAGACGAATTATTCACAAAAATGATTATATTGTAACAACAGAAGACAAGGGTCAGGCAACAGATCGTTTATTAACGAAAATCAACACATATTTATAGATTTTAATGTACATTATTGTAGATTATTGTTAGTAGAAAATACAGTCTTTTGATTGGTTGTTTCTCACAGAAAGTTAACCTTGCATTTCTTTATGGCTGTGTCAAATCATCCATATGCTAACTGTATCCGCCTACGCAAAGCCTTTATTCTCATTTTCTCACCACCAATATTGGGGACATAAATATTGACGTCAATTTCTGTCTACCAACTTTGGCTAGCAGCCAGCTCTCACCACAATATCAGTAAAAGTCTATCAACCTTAGGATTATCTCAAATAGTCTCATAATGAATTAAAAGCCTTCTCATCTCCGTCGTATTTTTAGCAGAATGAATTAAGAATGACAACAGAAGGTCTGTCTAGGGAGTTAATGTGATGATATCAAGTAATCTCTGACGTATTATATTACATATGCCCAAACCAAGTTCACTTTTAACAGTTTGAAAAAATTTGGGCATTGGGTGGTATATGATATTCATTATAATAAAGAGGGTTTTTCTGTATTTCCCAAAGGATGAAAAACAAAACGATATTGTTGTTTTTACTGACGTTTTGCTATTCATTAGTGATGCTGCTAATAGCTATATCGAAGTATTATTATTAAACCAGAATTTACAAAATCCACTCAGCTTTTATATGACAACTTAATCATCGTTCCTCAGCATGTGGGCATTTTTGCGTTGTCGAATTGGCCAATTGGTAAAGATAACTAAACTGGTAGGTGTAGATTGTTGGATTTGATAAGTGTGTAAAATTATGAAAGCAGCGTGTGTTTACATAATGAAATTGCTTATCACATTCGTGTTGATTTTGTCACTTCATGGGGGAGGGTGTGTGTATGTTGTAACCAGGTCAAATTCTGTTTTAGTCCATCATTCCTATTCAGATCAGACAATTTGGATTCCATTTGATATGAAGTGCTTCTGATGATATTAGACGTTCTTTGTGATTTCTGAAATACTTTTTCTGGATGATGATTTCAATATTGTCAAAATCAATTTTGTGGGCTGATTCTGTAGCGTGTAGACTCCCTGTGGCTGATGATTTTTCTTCAAGCTTTTCTAGTTCAATTGGATTTCCCGGTGGTCAAACAGATGCTCTATGGTGTTCATCTCTTCTGATTTTGATTTCTCTCTGTCGATGTTTGTCCGATGTATATCACATCACACAATTAGATAGAGAATCTCTATGGATTTGGTGTTTTATACGGACAAGATTGCTTTGTAGTGCGTGTGTCTGATGTTTTGAAAAAAATCTGACACCGAGCTTATTGCAAAATAAGCATGAAAATAACTTACTCAACATGAATAGACTAAAAGCTAAAGTAACTAACTAAAATCTATTTGAAAAGAAGAGAATTAGAGCCAAGAATGATGATTTACTTGGTAGTGTGGCTAGCGGTGGAATCCAAGACTCACTTTTCACCCTTTCTGGGGCTCTTCAATAGGTTGTGCCTGTTACTTGTTGCCCAAGAGGTGGATCTTGTGGATAAAGCTTTGATTTTTTTTCAAACAATCGGCTTTGGGTTTAAGTTTCAATGGGATTGTCATCACTCATCAGGGAATCAAGCATATCGAGCTGACAAGCTCTGAAGAGGATGGAATTTGTGTCCTGGATTTTCAATGGTAGCAGCCTTCAGGCTAATAAAATCAAGTTGGCTCTAAGAGATTATCTGAACTTTTGTACTATAAGTTAACATGCCAACAGAGGGACTGAGCACTTCGACCTAGTAAAAACCAACTAACGGGGTGATGCAAAAAAGCCAAGAAGTGATGATTATAATGATTGTGTTAGGTTCAATGAGCGTTTCCACAGTATATTTAAATCCAAAGGTGAGATTTAACGTTACTGATCACCAGTAAGTAATCCAACTATGGATAATTTGATGTAGTCGTAATCTTTCGGCATGATATCAAGTTGATCCTGTAGATGTGACTTTGAATTAGATGTGTAACGACAGAAAACAAGGGCCAGGCAACAGATCGTTTATTGAGGAAATCAAGCGATATTTATATATTTTAATGTACATTATTATTCCTTATTGTTAGCAGAGAAACAGTGTCTTCTGATTGGTTGTTTTCTCGCTGAAAGTTATTCTGTCATCTCTTTGTGGCTGTTTTTTGAAGGTCAGACCATATATCTACGAATCGTATCCGCCCACGCAAAGTCTGCTGTGATTGGTCGTTGATTTAGTCTTTGTTCTTGTTTTTTTTCTCATGACCAAGATTTGGGATGTAAACATTGATGTCAGTGATAGCACATATACGAGAATGATGAATACTGGAACTATTGAAACTAATTTTCTCATCTCTAAATTATCCTGTTGGGCAAGCCTTCACTCCCCGAAAAATATGGATTTGATTTAATGCACGACAGGAACGGCAGTCGTACATTAGTAGTGCTGTTCACCAACCAACCATATGGTCCTGGGTTCGATCCTCGGCCGAAGCACTGCTAAACCTCACTTAGCTCGTAGTAGTAGAGGGAAGGTGAGGAGTGAGGCTAGCAACCCTACTTCCTAGAAAGTGAAACAATTACTAGAGAAACTTCAAAGCTTAGACTTGAAGCCCTGTTTTCCACTTGGAACTCTAAGGAATAAAATCAGCATAAGATCTATGTGCTACTGATAAACTTTGCTCCACAGTTTTATCTGAACTAACTGGAGTAAAATTGACCGGTCACTAGAACGTAGTAGTAGTAGTAGTGTGGTGACAGCTGTCTGCAAGCCAACGTCAATGTTTACGTCCCAAATCTGGGTCATGAGAAAAGAAACAATAACAAACCTTAACCTTGAGGAACTCACCAACCAATCACAGCAAACTTAACGTGTGCAAATACGATTCGCAGATATATGGCTTAACTTTCTGAGAAACTGTCACAAGCAGTACAGAATAACCTTCAGCAGAAAAACAACCAATCAGAAGACGTTACTTCTCTGCTAACAATAACGCTAATAATAATGTACATAAATATCTATAAATATCTGATGATTTCCTCAATAAACGATCTGTTGCCTGGCCCCTGTCTTCCGTCGTTAGAGTAGTAGTAATCGTATGTATCTAATTCTTGGTGTTTATGGAATTCAGTCAGACCTGACGGCGAGTAATAGACACATGACACTGTCAATACTCGTTGATGCCGTTTCTGACTGAAGCGCACTGGATGTTTGGTTTAAGCGTCAGAAGGGATATCACTTATTTCGAGACTACAGACACACTCCTTACAGACGAATATCAACAAATACGAAAACAAGGTTAGACAGAGCTTCCAACTGATTGACTCCAACTATCTATCATCAAAATTGAAATGGTGTTATAACGTGGTCATTTTAAGCAGTCACATATAATTTAACAATTTTATTGAAGAGACCAAAACTAGTGAGGAAATGAATATGAAGATATTTTTGAAGAATAAATATGATGTTGTTTTACTTTACCACTCCTCATCAGCTGTTAACAACCTAAAATCATAAAATTCTCAATAAATAAACGTATATATATGTTCATACGGAATAGGAAGACAGTTGCAGCCAAGAAAATTTTCTTTTCGACGAAGTCATCATCTAGGCTGTACATTCGTGTATTTATATCCAATGGATGGGAAAGTTCCAGAATAATTTCTGGTTAGAGGTCAAATTAATAAAAATTACAATTAGGAATTAGAATGCCATAATAAACAGGTGGATGGGTAAAACTCAAACAAAGTAGCGTAATAACTAAGAAGAGTGACATTGTGCAATTGCGGGTTAGAAATGTAAAAATAACAAAATAGACAGGATGTTTGGATAAGAAACTAGTGTGATGAATAATTGTTTGTGCAATCAGGGATTAAATATGTAGAAATAGTAAAATGACAAAATAAACAGGAAGAGTGGATATGAAAATATGGTAGTGTAGACAGGGATTAAGAAAAACTTAAAATAACATGAATAAACAGGGAGTTTAGATAAGAAAGGCGATGGTCATTATTAAAAAATATACCTGTTTATGATGGCCATGGCAGGGACAGGGGTTGGACGTATTTCTTTTGGATACAAAGAGTGGGTTTGAGCTTTTGGATAGCTAACGCCTCAGCTATGCCCAGATTTGATTTGACTCCCTTTGATGGGTTTGATTGAATCTTGTATATTACTTTGAAGGATTTTTCGAAAGGCGCTGAATGTCCTGAGTTGACCAGATGTTCTGTCACTGAACTGTATACGCGTTTTTGGTCTCGTTTTACTAGCCAGGCTGGGAAGTGTTCACGAGCGCGTTTTCCCAGTCGGCGCATGGTACGGCCAATGTACTCAGCTCCACAAGAGCAAGTAAACTGGTATATGCACTTTGAGGTGGTCCAATGCGACAGCTTGTCTTTCGCGTTCTGGTTGAACAGTTTCCTGCAGGAAAACGTCAGTCGTAGGCTTGCGGCGAAGTATGTTTTCCTCAGCGATTTGGAGAGGCGTTTGCGAAGGATTTCTGCTTCGATATCACCTTTGAATTCTAGATTAAGCAGAAGTATTTTCTATGGAACGGATTGGACTTGTTCGGAAGTCTTCTTAGATTTGAGATTCTTGTCTATGAACCTGGGCGGGAAACCGTTTTCCATCAGGGTTTTTCGGAGATTACGCAGTTCTTCTTCAATCAATTCCTCGCTGCATATCTTCGAATCCTCGAGGAAAGAGCGTATATCAGGTTCCTCTTTCTGCTTAGGGGCACGAAGCTTTGAAAGTTGATGAATTGTCCAGTCCATGTAGGCTGTGGAACTTTCCTACCCATTTATTATGAATACACGAATGTACAGCCTAGATGATGACTTCA